TTAAACTGGCAATGAAGCCCTGAGGACAAGCGCGACCGAAGCTACGACGACAGGGATGCAGACCGTCGCTCCAGGAGAGATGAGCGGAGGTGGCTTGAGGGGTGCACATGCACACGTGGATACCAAGACGTAGGATTTGCTGTTCGGACGGGGGCGTCCACTGCAAGCTTCAGAAAGAATCCCTGAACCCAAGCCAGAACAGGGACTACGACCGCGATCGCTCTCGCAAGACTGGCGGAAGGCACGCATCAGCAAGGACTTCCGGCAAACATCTGCGTCTCCGCAGAACCATGCACTCAAGCTCAAGTTTCAGACACAAGATGACGCAAGCCTGTTGTGATCGTTCCGTTTCCCTCGACAGGTCCCGTGGACGTGACAGCCGTGACCGTCGAAGCGACCGTCGTGATGACCGTGCGCTCTCAGAAATCCTGCGGAGTCTTTAGATGGCCAGAACTGTGCAGATGTTTACTGCCGGACCCTGAACACCCCGCGTTGCTCAGGTGGGTCTCGCTACGACCGTGATCGCAGCCCTCGACGAGCCTTCGGACCAGGTGGAAGGTGGGGAGTGCCTGGTCTAGTTTCGTTGGTTGTTGTTGTGCTGGTCATGATGTGGAATGTGGAAGATGAGTGCGACGATTCGACGAAAGTTTGTCCATATTTGGTTTGGTCGTTTGGCTTGTGCATATTTATCCTTTTTTCTTCTGGGTGCACACGTATATCGCTTGTTGCCAATCACTGTTCATCCGGGTCTCTCAACTGCCACCGCCCTGCAGGCGCAGCGGCAACTGGGGCGGAGTGCCTTGACCAATCATGGCCACTGGTGGGAGGTGGTGGCGGCATGGTGGGCCTTTCCCTGGCATGTGGATAGCTCTGGAATGCACGGTGGCATGGCATGGCATGGCATGGCATGGCATCCCGCATCCAAAATCCTCCGTCTCCTCAAAGTCCAGATGTTGTAGCCCCTCCTCCCACATGTCGACCTGGTCACCCATGAACCCATGAGTCTCCCGCACCCCTCTGTTTGGAGGTCTTGCGCAGTGGCATGGCATGTGTGGAATCGTATGGTGTGGCATGGTGTGGGTTTGGCTGGTGCCGGAAGGTCCTGGATGTTTGCAGTCGCTTAAGCCACGACGGGCAGAACTGGAGTGGGATTGAGATTTCAGCGAGTTTGGAACTGGCACTTCTTGGCGGCCTGGGTTGTGGATGGCAGGAGTGGCCCTGCTGCTTGGAGCTTCGACCAGACGTGCCGGGCATTTCGTGCGCGTTTCCTTAATCCGCCCATGATGCTCAGGATTGGGAGTGTGAGAAGTGCGGCTGCAACAACTTCGCGCGTAGAAACGAGTGTTTCAAGTGCGGCGCACCCAAGCCCGCCTCGGCCTCGTAGCTGCGGCCAATGACAGTGTACATAAAAGCATTTCAAGGACGAAGCCAGACTCTACGAAAAACGTTTTGGTGGCCGAGGGCTCCAAGTCAAAAGGTTCATGCAGGTGAGTTCCTCATGCTTCTTGCTGCGGAGTTGGAGGTTGGACTTGCTGCGCTGCACCCGCAGCCATATGGCCAAGATCCTGCTGCCCTTGTCAACGCGTGCGTTGCAGGGTCCGGGGTGAGACTTGGTGGCATTCTCGCTTGGAGTCTTGCTGTATCCGACTGAGCATGTGCCATGAGGGGCTTTTGCACCACACACACACACACACTGCCCGAAGGAAATACAAGAGCAATGCCTCGCGACGATTCTGGCACCTTGCTTGATTGTTGGTGCGGACTTTTGCAGCTTCGAGGCTTGTGCTCTTGAGCTTCACGGCTTGGGCTTGGGCTCGGCCAGAGATGGAAATTTGGGTTAGTGGTTCTTTGGAGGACGACGTCATCGACAACTTCGCAGATCAGTGCTTCATACATTGTGACAACATCATTTTATGTTTCTTCTCGTCATTTCTCGTCCTATTCAAAGTTGTTCCTCCACAGTAAGTCATAAACTCGTCCGAGCAAGTCAAAGACCTGTAACCGACAATCTACGACGCTACGCCCAGGTGAACGGCGAGACAGCCGAGAGCGTGACCGAGCGCCAAGGTACTTGGGGCTTACCAGGTTGGCCTTAGGTCTCAGAAGGCTTCTGTAAAGGAGGCTTGGCAGTTTCGAGCCCACCATTCGAGAGGTGCTGGCTCCGGACTTTTTGGAAGATAGTGTGCACAGACCGACCCACACACACGCACACACGGATTGTCGTGTTGAGCTTCGGCATGCTTCGGACATACCTACACTGCCATGTTTCCTTGTGCAGGTCATCAGGAGAAACCAACAGATGCCGAACAGGGCTCAAGCTCTCTCCCATCTTACAGCCGTTATAGATGGGTTCAAAGTTCGTTGGAGACCCTCCTGAACTGCTTGAGATCACGCTGAGATCTGTGACACTGACAATCATTCATACTGTATCAGTCGCCGTGGAGCAATGCTCCTATGCTCCCCAGGGTCTGTCTTATGATTTCTGAGGAATCAGCGATCCCGCTCCTGCTGCCTTAGCTGCGCAGCGTCAGGTACAGCCCACGCCGGCCAAGCCCCCGAGGAGCAAGCCCGCCACGGAAAGACAGCCGTGACCGAGGTGCAAAGTGTCCCGGAATTGCATTGGCATCGGCCAAGCCGGGCTTGAGGTTTCGTCCATGTAATCTCTACGTCGACCACCGAGTTCGAGCCGTTCAGGGTCCGGCTCTTCGGTTCAGCGCAGAAAAACTGTTAGTCTTGCTTAGCTGTGCGGAGAGAGCCAATCGGGAATTTGGGCCGTGATCCAAAGCCAAACCCTTGCTCTTGCGTAGGCAGGGGTCGAGACTACGAGGCGTGGCTGCAATTCAGCGGACCTACTGAAGGCTTTGAGGCCAACCTCAGCACGTTTTGCAACGTTCTGAGACACCACGTGGATCTCGTCTAGAATTTGCAGACCCGACTTAAGGACAAGCGGGACCGCAGCTATGACAGGCCGGTGTTGGAGTTCCGCTGTCAGCTGCTCGCTAGCCTTCAAATCTAGGTGGCAAAGCCCAAGCCCCGAAACGCACGGAGCCATTGAAAGTCGAAGGCAGCCTCAAAATCCTGACAGGGATGCAGACCGTCGCTCCAGGAGAGATGAGCGGAGGTGGCTTGAGGGGTGCACATGCACACGTGGATACCAAGACGTAGGATTTGCTGTTCGGACGGGGGCGTCCACTGCAAGCTTCACAAAGAATCCCTGAACCCAAGCCAGAACAGGGACTACGACCGCGATCGCTCTCGGAAGAATGGCGGAAGGCACGCATCAGCAAGGACTTCCGGCAAACATCTGCGTCTCCGCAGAATACTTCGCTTAAGCTCAAGAAGCGTTATTCAGACACAAGATGACGCAAGCCTGTTGTGATCGTTCCGTTTCTCTCGACAGGTCCCGCGGACGTGACAGCCGTGACCGTCGAAGCGACCGTCGTGATGACCGTGCGCTCTCAGAAATCCTGCGGAGTCTTTAGATGGCCAGACTGTGCAGATGTTTACTGCCGGACCCTGAACACCCCGCGTTGCTCAGGTGGGTCTCGCTACGACCGTGATCGCAGCCCTCGACGAGCCTTCGGACCAGGTGGAAGGTGGGGAGTGCCCGGTCTAGTTTCGTTGGTTGTTGTTGTGCTGCTCATGATGTGGAGGATGAGTGTGACGATTCGACGAAAGTTTGTCCATATTTGGTTTGGTCGTTTGGCTTGTCAAAACATGTATGCACGTGTATGCTTTTCTCTGCGTGCACAAGTGCAGCGTTTATTACCGTAGTGTCGCAGGTCCTTGTGTAACTCACCTGAGCCCACGCCTGAAAGCTTAATGCGATTCACTCTTCATCCGGGTCCCTCAACTGCCAGCGCCCTGCAGGCCTAGCGGCAACTGGGGCGGAGTGCCTTGACCAATCATGGCCACTGGTGGGAGGTGGTGGTGGCATGGTGGGCCTTTCCTTGGCATGTGGATAGCTCTGGAATGCATGGTGGCATGGCGCGGCATCCTGTTTCCGAAATCCTCCGTCTCACTAGAGTCCAGATGTTTTAGCCCCTCCTTCCAAATCTCGCACCCCTCTGTTTGGAGGTCTTGCGCAGTGGCATGGCATGTGTGGAATCGTATGGTGTGGCATGGTGTGGGTTTGGCCGGTGCCGGAAGGTCCTGGATGTTTGCAGCTTAAGCCACGACGGGCAGAACTGGAGTGGGATTGAGATTTCAGCGAGTTTGGAACTGGCACTTCTTGGCGGCCTGGGTTGTGGATGGCAGGAGTGGCCCTGCTGCTTGGAGCTTCGAGCATCACGCATGGTAGCTTCTCCCCGTGTTTTGTCGATGCTGAGGATTGGGAATGTGAGAAGTGTGGCTGCAACAATTTTGCTCGCAGAGATGAGTGCTTCAAGTGCGGCGCAAAGAAGCCATCCTCGTGAGCTAAGTCTCAGGGCCACACGGCCACGCGTAGATGCCGCTGCGACGGGTATGCGATCGAAACGGAGTTCTCTTGTCCATCTCAACACATTCCCCTCTGGGGCACGACTGTAGTGCTGCATTTGCAACATCCCTTGGCTTTGGCTGTGGTGCATACCCACATGGCCAAGAGGCTGGTGAAAGCCGCTGGTGCAGCATCAAAGGGATGCGCCGCAAGAGGTGTGTTTCGTGCGGCGTGCAGTTCTTTAAAAGCTGGGTTGCGTGCTGGCTAGATGTATAGATTTGCACTGGCATTAGACTTGTTTAGCTGCTTAGCTGCTTCGTGATGGCTGCTTCTAGCACGTGATGCTTGAGGCATCCTGTGATGCTGCAACAGTACAAAGCATGCTCGTGCAAATTAGCTCAGGCACGTAGACTTTGCCTTGTCGTGACAGATTACGATGCGGCTTCAAAAAAGCTCACTGCGAAGACGAAGACGCCTTTCCGTTTTCCTATAGCACGAATCTTGTGTTCCGGACTTCGCGGGTGGAGAACCAAGGGAAACCTCGCGGAGCCCCTGCTGACCCAATGTAAACGCGCCGAATGAGGAGCTTCGTTCTTTGGGCTCTGGCGCTGTCCCTGCTGGGGTTTTGGTGGGACCCCAAGATGAGTGCCGGGGCTCGTTGAGGGATTCGTGATGCATCTATCGGAGCCGCAAGCCCTAAAGGCCCTAAACCCTGTGTTCCCCAGCCTTGGTTTTCATTGGAACCCGCTTCGGATATCTTCGGACTTGGCCGGCTTTGGTCCGTCTCTCTGCTACAGCATTTCGAATTTTGCCGTGGGTGCTTGACGTGCTCCAATCCGCAATCCGCGAGAAGACCCAGAAGGCCCAGAGCTGCTCAGGTGGCGGCTTTGCTACAACAGGCGAGCCCCAGTCCCTGCCCTCAGGGGCATGGTCAGGTTGCGGGGCTGCTGAATACGACAGGTACGAGCTTCAAAGCCCGAGCTCATCCCGTATGCATACGCACCGAGCAGAAAGCCCCCCTAAGATCCGACACCGGTTTCGAGAGGCACAAGCAGCCAGGTGGAGGAAGCCTTGACAGCATTATGGCCGTTAGGGTTTGTTCGCCGCTTTCACTGCATCAGGAAATGCTTGCCGGGTGAGCATGCTCATGTCGCCGCCCTCGCAGAGAGCCATTCAAGCGAGATTTCTGAGAAAGTGGGAAGGGGAGACAGGATCTGTCTTAGAGCCATGTCGTCCGAGGGTGTCACTGTCACTGGTGCCGAGGAGAGATCAACTGGAACGGGCCAATCCAAATCTAGGCATTTTCCCTGCAAGAACCCCGATTCCCCGCGGCTGGAAGGAGTACCCGGTGTTCGAGTCGTTCGACGACTACGAGCTGGACGAGAACTTGCTGCGTTCGGTTCCCAGTGCCGGGGTCAGTGCGGCAGCTGTCGAGTAGTCCGCCTTTTCTTGCAGGTTAAGTTTCAGGTGCCAGCTAGGGATTTGGAGCACGACTTTGGCCATCTTTAATACTAAACTCTAAACCTCTAACATCCCAAACCCTGAACCCCACTCCATACCCCATAAGTCTTAAACCCAATCACCTTCAGGCGGCATTTATTCGTACGGCTTCGAGAAGCCAAGTGCGATTCAGCAGCGCACGGCCCTCGGCCCTACTCCGTTTCAAGCGTTTCGAGTCTAGGATTTAGAGCTCAGGGCTTACGGTTTGGGGCAGTCTTCGGTGGGGCTCTAAGCGTGAGACATCTAGGGTCACGTGGATATCAGTTCAGCATTTGATGTGTCTCTGTGTGAGATTATTGTGACGTTTCAAAAACTACAGTATCGTTCTGACGGCCTCATGACTGCAGGTTGGGTCAAGAGTCTGCCACAATATTGTCATGATTCAGCCACCCTTAGGATTCAATGAACTGAAGTTTTTAATTTTGCTTCTTGGGTGATGAACCTCAAAGCTTACATACGACATACGAAGGTGGCATCAAGCCTATTCTCGATGGTCGCGACACCATCGGGCAGGCTCAGTGCGCATCTCAGAGCTTGGGAGAGGGCAACATGCTTCAAAGGATCGCATCCGACCCCCTAGATCTTTGTCATAGTTGGGTAACATTTTAAATTTTTAAGGGTACTTAAACCCAATAAGGAATATAAATTTACATAATTTTTAATACTACCCCAACCATGAACTAGAGATTCTGAAATTCTGACCCGACATGTGTAGCTACCGTGCCGGGGATCAAGAGCAACGCCCAAACGAAACCTTCGAGCCGTACCAAAGTGAGGTCTGGAACGGGCAAGACGGCAACCTTTGCCGGGCACCGAGCCTCTGATCCTGGGGTTGAGCTGAAACCCGGATCAGTCTTGGCAGAAATCACTACGGCCGATCAACGAATGCATCCAAACTCTGGGATCCTGGGATTGTCTCCACTGACTCTTGTGGACCCTGTCTGTACCAGAGGCTACAGAGAGCAACATCGGTTTTCAACATTCTGTGCACCGCCTGCAAAAAGGGCCGTTCTTGGCCACTAGTTCGATCGTGTGGGCGAGGTCATCGGCGCGCTCCAGCGCATCAACTACGGCGAACGCCACACACAGGAGCACCTTCTACACCGCACGAGTTTCAGTTTTACTGTGCTGAGGACTTACTGTAAAATGAAGGGGTTCGTTCCCGTGAGTTCAGCTGTCGCGTGGGGATACATAAATACATTTCCGGATTCGCGTGCTCCAACAGTCAAGCTTCTGCAGCAGTTGCACCAAGCTCGTTTTTCAGCTTGTTAAGGATCCAGAAGAGTCAGACGCAATGTGCTGGTCCTGCAGATTGAAGCTTTCAAGATCAAGCTCACAGCCTTAAGATGCGGCCAACGTTGTCCTGCATATTCTGTACTAGCATCGCCTTCGGTAGCTTGGAAGTGTGCCCTTAGGGTGTGCCCATCAATCCCGCAGGCCTTGATCTTGGCACCCACACGCGAACTGGCCAACCAGCAGCTCTGGCAGCGGTGGGGGAATCGGCTAAAGGGTTTTCGAGTTTTGGGCTGAGGGGCTGAGGGGTGCAGGTTGCGGAGCAGCCCGTTAAGCAACTGAGCAGCAAGACGATGTTGCTGAAGTACACAAGGTTGGTTGGATTGGGCTTGCATGGGGCCTAACTTTGCGCCAGTTTCTTCATGTTCCTGCTAGCTATCGTTCAAGGATGTGCAAGGTGTCACAAGGCGTAGAAGGTGTCGAGGAGCGCTTGATACTCGGCCGCCACCTTCCTTACACCGCGCATTCTTAACTTTCTGTGACATCACTGCACCAAAAAAGCTGCTCAGCTCTGCCTGGGCATGTATAGTGCCTGCCGAAGAGTGCACCATCGCAAAAAGCTGAGGATCTACAAAGTTGCCTTGGCTCTGGGCGACTACTTGAAGGTGTGTTCAGGGGAAGTTTTTACTGGATCAGGTTTTGAGGCTCGGGGTCTCGCGCCTAGTGGTGCGTGTGTGCGCGCGTGTGGGTGGATGCGTAAGATCTGCATTCGGGACCTTTGGAACGAGAGCAGGCATTCGCATAACATCCTGCAGCAGGTTCAAATTTAGTTGTTGCCGCTTGCGATATTGACAACATCTGGCACTGGGCTGCTTTGGTCTAAGAATGCGCAGGCCGAATATATTGAACGCCGGCCCCCAGCTATCTATACTGCCAGCATCGAAGTAACAAAAGGGATCACAACAATAAACTGATTTCTGCAGGCCACGCTGCGTATGTTGCAGCGGATCTCGACTGAAGCTTCTCCAGAACATTCATATGGAGTTCTGCTACTGCCCCAAAAAGGCCACAAATAAAAGTCATCGGAACCCTGATGGTTGCCATATCTGACCTGTTGGGTCATCAAGTCGAGTGCGTCGGGAATGCCGCTTTGCGTTGCAGCTTGACAGCTTGTCGTTCACGGGTTCCACCCGACACTGAAGCTATGAAGAGTGGCTAGCTGCTAAGCAGTGGCTTTACGCTGCTGGGCGAGCAGGATTGATGGTGAATAAGCTCTGTCAGGACCTCATGAGTTAGTCAGAAATACTCGGTGTGTCACACCCTAAACATATTCACTAAGTTTAAGATTAGCTACACCTATGGATCCTGATAGAGTCCCTAAACCCGACAAGCCCAAACCCCAACAACCTTAAGTCCTGAATAAATCGAATACAAGCTTTAGTTCTGGTGGCCATGGTCGAAAACTAATTCGTCGAATAGCCTAAGCTCCCTTACACCCCAAACCCGGAAAACCCCGTGCCGTAAACCAAAGAGTTTCAACCCCGTTTCCAGTTCTGCTTCCCTGAAGCCCCATGGCAGGTCAGGGCTCACGCTTGCATTGGAGGCCGGCTTGAACCTCTAAGGCGTCATCATGAGGATTTCTTGCAGGGTTTTGTATGGGATCGAGAGGTTTTTCTGTGTAACCCGGCAGTGCTCTGTGACACAGCGATTTGGGTTGCTATGAGTAAGGGAGATACCAGCACGAAGGTGCGTGTGTCTCTGTGTGCGTGTGTTTGCTTGTTAGCCGGAAGCCGAACGACGCTGAACCAATATCTTGACGACAAATCAAACGCACTGCATGCACAGCTGCGTCCCCGACTGTCGAATCCGAAAACCCCTAAATTCTCAGAAGCCCACATTCAAAGGTGCCTGCACATTACTTTTCAGGTACGTCCATCCAGGAGGACAAAGACGCTTGGAGCGCTCATTTCATGCCCCGCATTTTCTTTCCTGGGCTTGCTTGGCACCTGAAGGTCGTCGAAACATCCTGGGCCCAGGAGATGTAGTATAGGTGTACGGGACTCGGAGCTTAGCGTTTGATTTTGGGATCCTTGAGATCAGCACGGCCATGATTGCCGTCTGGTTATGCAGGTGCGCATACGTACATACATATATACATACATATATATATATATATATATACACATGTATATATATATATATATGTTTATATACAGACAAATTTATCTATATCTATCTATACATATACATCTGTACATTTACACACATATGTATTGACATGTCGGCTTCTGATCGCGCTTACGCGAGCACTGAGCCAAGGACAAGCTCCGTGATGGACAACACCTTGTGGTCGGCACGCCAGGCCGTTGCTTGGTCGAAGACTTCCTCGCACAAGTAATCAGAGTTTTATAAGCGTATCTATGTATGTATATATATATATATATATGTGTGTGTGTGTGTGTGTGTGCAATTATGCCTGTATGCATGATGTATGTACGCTTGTATGGGGGTATCTACGTGTGTGTGTGTGTGTGTGCTGGGGTTTGCGTGCGTGCGTGCGTGCGTGCGTGCGTGTGTGTGTGTGTGTATGTATACATATTATATATATATATATGCATGCTTGTGTGTACGTGTATGCGTGCTTATGTGTGTGTATGGTGTATGTCTGTATGTATGTATGTATGTATGTATGTATGCATGCATGCATGCATGCATGCATGCATGCATGTATGGTAACTGAATTTAATGTCATGTCATGTAAGTACTGTAATGTAGTGAGTGTAGCATGATGTGATGTATCGTATTGGTGTTTGTTGGAGCGAGCGCTGGTGTGTGTGTGTGCATGAGAGTGTGAGTGAGTGTGTGTGTGTGTGTGTCTCGTGTTTCTTTGTCGCGTTGCTTGTGCTTCAGATCTTTGGTTTTGTGCTTTGTGGCATTGCTTTGCGATCCCAGGCATGCCTGCCAACTTTGTAGAAGGGCAAGGTGGTTCACCAAAGTTCGTACGACGGGGTCCGTCAGACCTTGGCAACTGATGCTTACTAAAGTGTGTTAGGGAGTTGACATGTGGTTGCATGGTTAGGCAAACTGCTCCTCGAGACGAGGGAAGGGTGTCCACATTCGATGCATTTCGGTGCTTTTGCAACAACTCAGGTGTGTACGACATGGT